GTACAGATAGCTAGGTCTGAATTTTTGCTTCCTTCTTTGAGGAACAGGATGGGGCTCAAGTAGTCAGTAATAAATACAGGAAGAGTTTGCCCCATAAAAAGAGAAGCCTCTGGAAGAACAGCAATGTCTTGTCTTCTTTTTGACCTGATTATGGACTGAGTTGTATTCCCCCAAAATATATATTTTGAAGTTCCAAGTCCTAGTACCTTAGAATCTGACCTTGTTTGGAGATAGGGTTTTAAAGGGGAAATTAAGTTAAAATGAAGTCAAATGGTTGAAAGACCTAAATGTGAGACAGGAGTCCATCAAAATCCTAAAGGAGAACACAGGCAGCAACCTCTTCGACCTCAGCCACAGCAACTTCTTCCTAGAAGCATTGCCAAAGGCAAGGGAAGCAAGGGCAAAAATGAACCATTGGGATTTCATTAAGATAAAAAGCTTTTGCACAGCAAAAGAAATAGTCAACAAAACCAAAAGGCAACCGACAGAATGGGAGAAAATATTTGCAAATGACATATCAGATAAAGGGCTAGTATCCAAAATCTATAAAGAACTTATCAAACTCGGGGTGCCTGGGTGGCTCAGTTGGTTAAGCAACTGCCTTCAGCTCAGGTCATGATCCTGGAGTCCCTGGATCGAGTCCCGCATCAGGCTCCCTGCTCGGCAGGGAGTCTGCTTCTCCCTCTGACCCTCCCCCCTCTCATGTTCTCTCTCTCTCTCTCTCATTCTCTCTGTGTCAAATAAATAAATAAAATCTTAAAAAAAAAGAACTTATCAAACTCAACACCCAAAGAACAAATAATCCAATCAAGAAATGGGCAGAAGGCATGAACAGACATTTTTCCAAAGAAGACATCCAAATGGCCAACAGACACATGAAAAAGTGCTCAACATCGCTCGGCATCAGGGAAATCCAAATCAAAACCTCAATGAGATACCACTTCACACCAGTCAGAATGGCTAAAACTAACAAGTCAGGAAAGGACAGATGTTGGCGGGGTTGCGGAGAAAGGGGAACCCTCCTACCCTGTTGGTGGGAATGCAAGCTGGTGCAACCACTCTGGAAAACAGTATGCAGGTTCCTCAAAAAGTTGAAAATAGAGCTACCATACGACCCAGCAATTGCACTACTGGGTATTTACCACAAAGATACAAATGTAGGGATCCGAAGGGGTACGTGCACCCCGATGTTTATAGCGGCAATGTCCACAATAGCCAAACTGTGGAAAGAGCCAAGATGTCCATTGACAGATGAATGGATAAAGAAGATGGGGTATATACACACAATGGAACATTATGCAGCCATCAAAAGGAATGAGATCTTGCCATTTGCAACGACGTGGATGGAACTGGAGGGTATTATGCTGAGTGAAATAAATCAATCAGAGAAAGACATGTATCATATGACCTCACTGATATGAGGAATTCTTAATCTCAGGAAACAAACTGAGGGTTGCTGGAGTGGTGGGGGGGTGGGAGGGATGGGGTGGCTGGGTGATAGACACTGGGGAGGGTATGTGCTATGGTGAGTGCTGTGAATTGTGCAAGACTGTTGAATCACAGACCTGTACCTCTGAAACAAATAATGCAATATATGTTAAGAAAAAAAAAAAAAGAAGAAGATAGCAGGAGGGGAAGAATGAAGGGGAGTCAATTGGAGGGGGAGACAAACCATGAGGGACGATGGACTCTGAAAAACAAACTGAGCGTTCTAGAGGGGAGGGGGGTGGAGGGATGGGTTAGCCTGGTGATGGGTATTAAAGAGGGCACGTTCTGCGTGGAGCACTGGGTGTTATGCACAAACAATGAATCATGGAACACTACATCATAAAAATTTAAAGAGAACATCTAGAAAACAGGAAAAAAAATGAAGTCATGAGAGTAGACCTTAATCCAAACTGACTACTATCCTTATAGGAAAAGGAAATTTTGGGACACAGATGGATGCAGAGGGAAGACCTTGAGAAGAAATAGGGAGAAGAGAGCCAACCATAAGGCAAGGGATGATGCTTCAGAAGAAACCCACTCTTGCTAATGCCTTGATCATGGACTTCTAGCCTCCACGACTGTAAGAAAATAAATTTCTGTTGTTTAAGCCACCTGGTCTGTGGTACTTAGTCCTGGAAAACTAATAAGCACTTTTTCTACCCACCCCTCTTTCTTATCATAGACACAAAATGCGATTTTAAAAGCATGCTGGTCAAATCCTTTTGTATGGGATCAAAGGATCCTTAAACCAATGCCACTTCATAATAACAGTCTAGTGACTGCCCTCTAAAGTTGGTGAGGGCTATTAGACTCAGCTGGTTGATGCACTTTGAGTTAATATAAAAGTTCGAAGTCAGGTTTATTACTCTGATGTTTGAAATATAAACATTTGATTCGCTTTGAGTTGTTTATTTTCACAAAATTAGCTGAATGCCTATGTGAGGATAGCCTGGTGTCTGAATGCTGCCAAGTTCCCTAAGAATCAGGGCTCCTTCGAATTGGTGTTGTAAAAGAAATAGCCAAATCCAGGGCAGCCTGGATCAGTAGGACACACACATGAATCACACTGCATGTCCCTGGTACATCCCCCCTTCCTACTCTGCTAGTACCCCTTTCCCGTCTCAGAATTTCCCTTATGCTTTGCCAATATTTCTTCAACCTGAAATTCTTAACCCCATTGTCATCTAATCAAAATCTGGTCTTTAAATTCCAGCTTCAGACTCACTGCCTCCAGGAAGACTTCCTTGATTACTCCAGTCCACATTGACTTGTCGCTTCCTAAATTTCTGCTGCATTTAGAATCCCATCTGAGACAATTCAGTATACAAGCCAGCTCTTATTTATGGCACTCTGCAGACAATTGTTCCAAAAGATTGTTACTTTTTAGTGAGCTTCACTCAGGTCAGGCGGAGGGCTAAGTGTTCCTCATACTCTTATCTCCTCCCATCCTCACCAGGACCTTGTGAGGGAGCATTCTTACTTCGCATTTCCTAGGAGGAAACTGGTTTAGAGAGCCTAAGCAAGCAGCTCCAGACGCAGAGCTGGGAACGGCTTCTCGCTGTGTCCTGTAGAGTCATCTGTCTCTTCCTACACTGCCTTCCAGGGTGGCCCCCTGCTGTCCTTTTCTGCATCACCTCCCAGCCCTCCCGTCTTCAGTGTCTCTCCTCCTAGGTCACTGCGAAACAGGACGATTTCTACATGTTCTCTACTCCCACATACCTAAAGCAAATAGTTCGGTATTTAGCAAAATCGTTAGCAAAGTGCCTGCAATAAACTGGGGTTTGATAACTCCTTGGTGGTTCTCCCATTAAGTTGCCAATTTTCTTATCAAGGGTGTAGGGAAGTCAGCAGGTTGGACCATACATTTCTGCAGGATCCAGGACCTCTCAGGATTGCCATCTGGGCCTTTCTAGGCCTGATGTAATGGGGCTGTAAAGAAGAACAATTTCTTTAAAAAGGCAGCATTTGAATAATGAACAGGGCAAATAAAGATGAATAGACAAAGATAACATTTGTTTCAAAGCCAGGAAGCCCAACAGGCCCAAGGGCGCATGATTGGGTTGCAGATGATTCTTTAGATTTCACTTTTTGAAACATTCAGAACCACTTCAGCTCAGTTTTCTATTAAGAAGAAGGAAGGGGGGAAAGAGGAGGAGGGAGAGGAGAGAAAGAAGAGAAAGGAAAAGAAAGAGAAGAGAAAGGAAAAGAAAAAAAAGGAAAGGAAAGGAAAGGAAAGCAAAGAAAAAAGAAAAGAAAAAAGAAAGAAAAGAAAAGAGAATGGAACAGCCTCCCCTGGTTCGCTGAGCGTTGGCGCAGGGTACAGCGATATGCCGGTGCTATCCCCGCTGCAAGCTTACTTCCCACCCCTAATTATCAGCAGCTATTCTGCTGCACATTCGTTTTCCTTCTGCAACATTCTTTTTCCTGTGAAGTATGAGTTCTCTTTCTCATTCCCATATCATTTCTAACGTATCAGTTGTCCTGTCGACGGGCCACCGACTCCCCCAGACACACTCCAAGAGCCCCTACCACAGAAAAAGAACTGCCTGGAGAAGCTCTATTTTCATACTAACAGCCACTGACACTCGTTTAGCACTTCACCGTTTCCTTCGCATGATTGGATTGCAAAGCCCTTTCCAGTTATTGGGTAAAGAAGACAGGTAAACACACAAACACTGTGAATGCATAATTAAAACAATGCCACAAAGAAAAATGAGGGAGGAAAATCATATTTTATGCCAGCAAATAACTTGTTAATAAACAGCCACTGCCGCCAAGGTACTAAAAGACACTATTGGTCTTAGTGCTAATGAAGGACTGAAGGATGAGACAAGGCAGACTGCTTTTTTAATTTTTATTTATTTATTTATTTGACAGAGAGGGAACGCAAGCAGGGGGAGCTGGAGAGGGAGAAGCAGGCCCCCTGCGGAGCGGGGAGCCCGATGCGGGGCTCCATCCCAGGACCCTGGGACCATGACCTGAGCGGAAGGCAGACGCTTAACCGACTGAGCCACCCAGGCGCCCCCAGACTGCTTTTTTTTTTTTTTTTTAAAGAGTACAGTCTGTGAAATTCATGAACTTCTCTGGTCTCCAGTCTCCTTCAGTGTAGGCAGAAAACTCTGATCAAGTTCAATAATTCAGCACTGCAGGGCTTTTGTAAAATTTTGATTAATCCAGTGCAATCATTCCATAAATAATAAAACCGAAGCCTACTTTGTTCATTAATTCGACAGACACACGTTGAGCACATACTCTATGCCAGCCACTCTGCTAGGCACTAGGGATGGAACTCGAGAGCTTCAACTCTAACGGGGAAGAAACAGAATACAGGCAATATAAGAAATGTGAGTCCCCAGGACAGAGGAAGAAAATGCAGAGTACACTAATTTTTAAACCTTTAATCTCATTTCTTCATTTGTCATCTTTATTTCTCCTAACTCTTAGATATTTGGCCCCTGTAGGATCTAGACAATAAACCTACCCATATTCTTATTGGTATAAGAAAGTTGTAGCATGTGGTGGTTTGCTGGGCTCAGATGGGTGCGAAGCCTGGCTTGAGGATTTATTAGAAATATGAATGTGCACCACTGCTTACCAGGGAGGAGAATGGCATCAATCACAAGTGTAGTCACATCTTAAATGAGTCCTTGTATATAAAGCCTGGCATGCATTAGTACAGGGCCAGACACCTACTTAAGTAAACCTTAGCTGTAAATATGATAGCAGTGTTTCTCATTGCTGATGTTAAAGAAACCTGGTGGGTTAGGGGTAGAGAGACATTAAATAAATGAGTGATAAGAGAAATAAACTACCCCTCTGATTAAACGAGCTCATTAGTTCACCCAGTAAACAGAGTAGTGTCATTTTCTGTCAGATACTTAAATTTTTAAGATTCTAGCATACATTGTAAAATGGTGAGTCTAGAAGACACTTCGAGCTTATTTGATCTTGCAAGGGATGCTTCCATTTCAGAATAATCATTATCTCCCCGAACTTGTATAGACTAAACAAAACATGGGGATTTTTTTTCATGCTAGGCACACCCAATCTCCTATTAATGGTATTCATTTCTTAAAAAGTCACATAACAGAGTTCAGCTCTGGGCAGAATCTGGAGTTCTAAATGAGCTAAGACGGGGTTTTAATAGAGAATTTCGGTTTGGTCACTAAAAGATTTTAGATTCATCATGATTGGGAAAAAAAAGGTATTATTACAAGATGAAGCTTCTAAATAAAACTGTTGGCAAACAGCTCCTGAATCATGATTTTGAGGCTGTGGGTGATGCTACGGCCTGGGGAGACAGGCTGTCTCAGAGTTCTAATTCTGGCTCTGGTGGCCCCAGTGGGGATTAGTGATTTATATTAGTATCTTCAGCCTCCTTTTCATAGGTTTGCTTTTTTTATCTAGCTAAAGGGGTCCATAAGCTATAGCCCGTGCACCAAATTTGGCCTACTATCTTTTATGTTTTTAAGTGGTTGGAAAAAATCAAAAGAAAAATAATACTGCTTGATATTTGAGAATTATATAAAATGCAAAAGTTTGGTGTCCATGAATAAAGTTTTATTGGAACACAGTCAATACCCATTTGTTTATGCTATAATGGCAGAGCTGAGTAGTTGTAATAGAGACTATATGGCCTTCAAAACTTAAAATATTTATTCTCTAGTCCTTTCCAGAAAATGTTTGCTGACCCCTGATCTGGCATACAGAATGGATACTAGAATTAAATGGGAATGGATGAACATGTCTACCAACACCGGAAAAGAGCACTCCTCAATAGACACTCTTCATAAGTGTGATCCTAAGATCACACTCCAAATCGGTTTCACAAATGCACCAAATGCCTTCTGGTTGACATGGCAGTCACCAGCATTTCAAGGGATTACATACATTTTAAAATGCCCTTTGAATCGTTTCAATAGCCTCTTTCAAATGTATATTTTAAGGCATTTTAAGTAGGAAGGGAATTTTGAAGCAAAAATCCCACTTTTTTTGAAATAAAAAAATACATAGTAGCAAAAACATGCTGATTTTGAATGCATTTATTTAATTCATGTTCAGAATTACTTGTGTATATAGAATTATGTTTTCATACCATAAACAACTCCTACTCACATTCTCTAAATGATTTCCACACATTAACTAAGAAAAAAAATAATACAAGCTTCAGGGCCGCCTACAGACTTAGGCAGACAAAGAAAAGAGATTGTCCTGGTTACCTTTGGGTAACAAATATAATTGCATGGATTGTAACATACAGTACTAACACAAAAGGGGGGAAAAAGGATAAAGAGAGTGTCATAAAATTAAATGCCTTAGCAACATATTTAACTAATGATCAAGAAAATGACCAACTTCTTTGCCTTTTATGCTAGAATACTATTACAATAACTCCATATTTTCACAGAAAATAGACACCAAATACTGGCTTACGTTTTTAAATGACAGCAAATTAATATAACCGATTTCTTTATTCATCCTAGGAGGAATTACAAATACAGACATGGATGACAAACTATCATTGCTGGTGTGTCAACCAATTATCTCAAAGCTCAAAAACTGGCCAAGCTTTTTTCTTTCTCAGAGACACCCAGGACTCTCTCTCAGAACAATCTATTTCTCATACAGCTCATTCCATTATACAGCTGCACTGACCATCCAAATAGGATCAAGTTTTAGAAAATTAAAAATTATACAGTCTCCAGACCCATGAAATGTTCTATCAAGAAGAGTGCCTTTGTAAATGCATGAAATAGGTCTGGAGAGTTACACAATCATAGAACCAGGAGAAAAAACAACTAGATCAGGGAGATACAAGTAAAAACTGATTAACCGTATACCATGTGATTACAAATAATAGAAAAAAAATATTGTCACATTTATGCTTGCATGTATATAGATGAAATAGATGCATTCTATCTATCTGCATAGATACCTCTATGCATCAGATGCATAGAGATAAATAGCTAAATATGGAGAAAAAAGACAAATAGATTGATAGATAAATAGAAATTAATAAAGTCTCTGGACCCCAAATATAAGCTATGGATCCTAATCTAGAGTCCACAATTGGGTTTCAGGGAATCTTTGAAACCCCCCACATTGTTTGCAATTTTGATAGGTATTTACATTTTTCTGACAAAAAGATGCATAATGCAGTTATTGAATTGTCTAAATACTCGTGCTCCCTCACTTTTCACTTAGCTCATAAAAATCCTGAAATTTATACAAGTGATATGTAATTGTCAGAGGGTACTGGAAATAATTAGCATAGTCACAGCTAACGGCAGGATAGATGACACCTTCTCCTTTTCTGAAGGGCTTAATTTCATTTCCAGGCAGAAGAAAGTCACTTTGGATTACCCTTCAAAATTTCTCTCTCTCTTTTTTCATTTCCATAGCTGTCTCTTCATCTCTCATCCCCTTTTCTTCCGTGTTTACCTCTTTTCTTTCCCTGGAGGAAGGAAGAGGGTAAGAAAACCTCCCAGTTCTAGTTACTATTAATTGGAGGCACTGGGCTGAGATGGAGCTTTGAGAGTCTGGCATATTGGTAATTGCCCTTGACAATCATAACGAGTGTTCCCTTGGATAATACCTAGGCAGGTTGGTGTACCGCCTCCCAACATATGAGAAATATTAAGCGTGCTTGCTAGTTGCTAGACAGGGAGTGAAAACTTGGCCAGAGTGTGGAGGGAGTTTGTGAAGAAGCTGAGACAATTTTAGCAAAGTGAGTTCTGTAATGAAGAATGCTGAGCCCCAGCATGCAACAGTTTTCCATAGGAAAAAATTACAGATGCACATTTCTTCTTTGGTATAGTTATTCACATATAAGTAAGGCTACTGCAGGCAAGTGAGGTTTTCTCCCCAGTTTTTCATGACAGTATAGTTGTGACCTCAGAACAAACATTCAAGAGAACTCTAAGTGGGCATCTCTATCTAGTCCGACTTTTATGATAGGCTTAAACATAGAAATAATTGCAAATAAATGAAAATGGCTACTCTCACTTCAAATGCCAAAACTCTTAATACAAATATATTTATTTCCATTAATAATATTTAAAAATTTGCAGGCTCATATTCAGAAATCAGGCTCCGGCCTCCAATATCTCATATTTTTAAGCCAGAATATATATAACTTCATTTTGATTTTCTGGAACTTTACCTTTGTGAAGGTAAATCAGTCATACACACACGCACAAGCATTCACTGGTAGTGTTAGCTATTCGACTTCGATCAAACTACTTCACTGTGCTGAGGCATTTCTTTATCTGGAAATGGAGATAACAGAGCTGGCTTCCTGGAGCTGGGATAAAGATCAAATTAAATGATACATGCAAAGAGCCGGGAACATTGCCTGAAATACAGAAAGCCAGATACAAATAAAAGCTATAGCTGCTATCATGGACATGGTACTGCTCTGTCTAGATCCCAGAAGCTGGTATGTTGGCCGCTGATGACTTACAGAAGCCTTCATGGAAATTGTTCTCCACTGTGACAGGAAACTGCTTCACCTGAGTTTATCTGGCTCACCTTTCCCCATCAACAACTAGACCAGCTGATGCCAAGAAAGGAGGTCTGGTTCCTCAGTTTAGAGCAGCTCTGTGGGGCATCCTAGCTCCGGAGCTCCCTGCAATATCAGCTGAGAGCTCATTTGCAACAGTGTTGTGCCCCAGCTTCTTCTGCCTCATCCTGCTTTCCTTGCTTGCCACTGATGAAATATCTCCCAGGGAGCATTCCCCAATACATGGTTTAAAAAAAAAAAAAAAAAAAAACTACCTATGTATCTATGTATCTAGCTAGCTCGCTTTCATCTGCTATCTATCTCCAGTATAATTAACATACAGTGTTACATTAGTTTCAAGTAGATAATGATTCAAGAATTTTATACATAACTCAGTGCTCATCAAGACAAATGTATTCTTAACCCCCATCACCTATTTCACACATTCCCCCGTCCATCTCCCCTCTGGCAACCACTTTCTTCTCTGTATTTAAGAGTATGGTTTTTCTGTTTGTCTCTTTTCTTTCTTTGTTCATTTGTTTGGTTTCTCAAATTCCACATATGAGGGGAATCATATGGTATTTGCCTTTCTCTGACTTGTTTCACTTAGCATTATACCCTCTAGATCCACCCATGTTGTTACAAATGGCAATTTCATTCTTTTTTTGACCAAGATATATATATATGTATCTTTTCAATCCTCAATACACCTTTTAACATCACTCTCGATCAGAGTGTATTTTTCCAGACTCCAATCTAAGAGCACAGATAAATATAGATAAAAAGTTGTCTTTCCATTACCCTAGAATTGCTGTTAAGATCAAAATCTGAAGAAAAAAACTTCTAAAAACCCCCATTCTAAGTTGAAAATCACAATGGAAGTTGTACCTAACCACATCCCTGCAAGGCTTACAGAGAATGCATTTCCGAGAAGAAACCAAAACCCCATTTCCCTGCCTCTGACTATGACAAGAGGAAGATTCGGACAGAGAAAGAGCCTCTTGGAGAAAAGTTTTCAAGATAAACCCTATTTTTTGAAGGGGAGGAAAAGAAAGTTTCTCAGCTATCAGAACAAGTCCGGAAAGCACAGGAGAGTTTCTGGTAAATTCTGAAGTGTGTTAGAACTATCACTCACACCTTCTCCAAGTTGCAGACTCACATGAAGTTTGGCAAGCCATTCAGTCTGTGGGGTCTGAAGCTCATGCTTCATGGAGAAAGGGGCAAGATGACAGCCTTGAAGGAGGCCGCAATAGTGAAAGAGCCTGCATTATCCCTCCTTGGCAGACCAGGGTATATGAGTTTCCTGCTAGCTGAATGAGCACAAAGAAAGCAGCTGGCCTCGAGCCCTTCTCATGGTATCCCATCTAACAAGACCAGGCCTAGGGTGGAAAATTCTACCACGTGAAGCAGATTTCCCATTCTAGGGATGCTGAATAATCCACAAAGGTTACTCTATTAGTGAGTCAACTTTTGGAAAAGGGATATAATAACCAGTCAGTGTTGAGGGGCTAACCCCAGCAATAGCTTCTGTGTAGGCACGCTTGGACCTTCTTCCGTCTTTCTCTTGGTGGCATTATCAGAAAGGAAGGCAGAGAAATGGGACCGTGAACGTAAAGAATTTCCCTCCACTTCAGCCCCTAGAGCTACAAACAAGTCTTTGCTGCACCAGGGGATGGAAAGGTCTTACACAGCAGGAAATAAGAGTTCATCGTAGCCAAGTTGGGAGTAGCTATCGCCAACAATAAACCATTTCATAGGATCGCGAGTCCTCTGTAAACCTGGTAAATATATACACTTCAATAAGTATTTAATCAGCTCCTTGCATTATACTGTACCAGGTGTTAGAGATACCTTGATGAGCAGAAAGAGGTGGCTCCTGCCTCTTCTGGAGTACACACTTTCTTGTCTCCTTTTGCCTGCCTGTGTCTCTGAATCACTCTGTCTTCTCCCTCTGACAGACTATTCTTCCAAGAAAGTTAAGACATCATCATCCATTAATTACTGCTTATTTTTTTTTTAAGCAACATAAGGAAAATTTGCCCAGAACACATTTTGAGAAGCAAAGAGA